TATAAAACCTGTAATATTGCTAAATATTATTGCAATTTAAAATGTTTCTATTTGATTATATTAGAAAATGTAAGTTATTCTTGTGATGGAAAAACTACATTTTCAGCAGCCATTACTCCAATCTTCAGAGTCATATGATCCTCTCAAAAATCGTTCCAATACGCTGATTTGCTGCTCGAGAAACATTTCTTATTGTTATCAATGTCTAAAACAGTTGCGCTGCTCATTATTTTGTGTAAACTTTGATACACAAAGTTCTTTAAGGGTTCTTTAATGACTAGAAAGTTCAAAGGAACATTTATTTATAAACCGAAATTATTTGTAACATCATAAATGCCTTTAATGCCACTGACACTTGCTGCACAAAAGTATTAATATATATTACTGACCCCAAGACATTGAATAGTAGTGTATGAACATTTATGAGCAAGTGTGCTAATAAAAAAAATTAAAAAAAACCTACACTTGCATTAGTTTAGAATATTAAGATCTTGCAATTTCATTCCATTTCCTTATATTCAAATTACAACTTCCTACCTCCAGGAAATGAATTGGAATTTACAAGGCATTCATGACATCTCTGAACATTTGTACATTGACACATGACAGACCAACACAGATGTACAGGAAACTAATGTCGTTTATTGAAGAATCTTTCTACATGTCAGCCTGGAGAGACAGATTATCTGCTACTAACCAGACCTGTTGACAGCAGCAGCGATGGCGTCATACAAATTCTTGATAACAAACAGAGGAGGAGAAAAAAGTAAAAGACAAAAAAGGGGCCTGCCTGGACAAGGCCCCTTGTTCCAAGACAGCCTTGATCGAAGGCTCAGAGAGAGTGATGAGGAGGTGCACGCATGCAGATCTGGAGGCTGACCCAACGGCTGCTCCCCCGACTGAGATGTTCACGTCTTGAGAATATACAAACCACTTTCATCACACACTCAAGACAGACAGAAACAAAGGGAAACAGAACAACGAGCAAGTCTTTGTCTGTCTTATAAGGCAAAAACCTTTATCCAATATCCTTAGATAGCTAACAGAACAACAAAAAAAGAAGTAAAGAAAAGCAAAGGATACACAAAAAGGCATGCATGAATGAATATCACTGGATCAATATAAAATCAAGAAATTCTTAGGCTACACATAGTGAGAGAGCTGAAATTAGGACAAAAGCGACAGAAGAAAAGGTCTGCGGTTCTAACCTACGTACAGTACTTTATTTCTGCCAAGTGCAACTGCAGAACGACACTCTAAACAGAACATAGTCACATTAAAGGAATAGTTCACCCGAAAATGAAAATGTAGTCACCCTCAGGCCATCCAAGATGTAAATACATTTGTTTCTTCATCTGAACAGGTTTGGAGAAATGTAGCATTACGTCACTTGCTCATGAATGGATCCTCTGCAGTGAATGGGTGCCGTCAGAATGAGAGTCCAAACAGCTGATAAAAACATCACAATCCACAAGTAAGCCACGTAACTCCAGTCTATCAATGAATGTCTTTTGTGAAGTGAAAAGCTGTACATTTGTAATAACGCAAGTCTCTATTCATAATACTGTTCTCGCCAGTAAAAAAAAAGTAGTCTCATCTGAATGAGGAGAGAAATATGCACACCTCTTACATGTGAGAATGGTCCAAAACAAATATTCTGGTGGATTTTAATGTGAGAGATCAACAGAGAATTTTTTTCACTATAGAGGACGTGTTATAATGGATTATGGACTTGTATTTTGGTCAGAAGCAACAGTTTTAAGTTAAAATGCCTTAATGATGAATTTGTTTCTTCCAATCACGCGTGTGATTATGATGTTTTTTTCAGCTGTTTGGTCTCTAATTCTGACGGCACCCATTCACTGCAGAGGATCCATTGGTGAGCAAGTGATGTAATGCTAAATTTCTCCAAATCGGTTCCAATGAAGAAACAACCTCATCTACCATCTTGGACGGCCTGAGGGTGAGTAAATTTTCATTTTTGGGGGAACTATTACTTAAAAAAAAAAACAGTGAAGCTATGTGGGGGAGTGGGAAACACAATATAAATCACAATTTTGTCTTTTAGGACAAGCCTGCAGTTATGGCACAGAGCAATGCTTGTACATTGGGGGCAAACGAAGCAGCTGTTCCTGTGCTTAAGGCTACAACTGCCTAATCAAAATCCCTAACTGGTCATCTTACCAGAATAGTTATAGGCTAACACATCTAACCACCTGTGTGACAAACACTTACAGTTGATCCCATGAAATTTCAGTCAGGTTTAAGGAAAAGCCCCATTTATATTTCTTGGTAATGCGTTACGTTTGCAAAGCCAAGCGTTGGATGAACAATGGGTCGTGGCAAGACTTATTTTCACACTAAAGATGTACACAGCATTTCATTTCAGTTGGATTGGGTGGGTGGCTTCCTCCCTTCAAGTAAGCTCTTGGCAGCATGTGACAGAGTAGACAATGATATGAAGACATTTTTTTAAAAAGCAGCCCACACTATAGTCACAGAATTACAGATCATCTGACAGCACAGGGCAGCTGAGCGTTAAGGGTACTTGAAATATGTCTGTGGTCAAATAGCTTTGGTATAGTCGGTCAGAATCAGCCGTTTCCATCACGCAAGGCCATGAGACTCCTGTGGCACATGTGCACTGTCACAGTAAAGCAGTTCAATACACTGATCGTCTGAATGAAAGGTCACCAGTACGATGGGAAGCAAAATTTCGGAAGAAAATGTGCAAAATCAGATACAAAGCCATGCTGAAATGTGAATTGATTGAGGTGAACGATTACCCAGGGGAATCAGATGACTTTTTTTTTTAAATTGGACAAACACTTACAGTTGATCCCATGAAATTTCAGTCAGGTTTAAGGAAAAGCCCCATTTATATTTCTTGGTAATGCGTTACGTTTGCAAAGCCAAGCGTTGGATGAACAATGGGTCGTGGCAAGACTTATTTTCACACTAAAGATGTACACAGCATTTCATTTCAGTTGGATTGGGTGGGTGGCTTCCTCCCTTCAAGTAAGCTCTTGGCAGCATGTGACAGAGTAGACAATGATATGAAGACATTTTTTTAAAAAGCAGCCCACACTATAGTCACAGAATTACAGATCATCTGACAGCACAGGGCAGCTGAGCGTTAAGGGTACTTGAAATATGTCTGTGGTCAAATAGCTTTGGTATAGTCGGTCAGAATCAGCCGTTTCCATCACGCAAGGCCATGAGACTCCTGTGGCACATGTGCAGTCACAGTAAAGCAGTTCAATACACTGATCGTCTGAATGAAAGGTCACCAGTACGATGGGAAGCAAAATTGGGGAAGAAAATGTGCAAAATCAGATACAAAGCCATGCTGAAATGTGAATTGATTGAGGTGAACGATTACCCAGGGGAATCAGATGACTTTTTTTTTTAAATTTGAGAAATTTAGAAAGAGAAAAAGGAGAGAATCAGTATCCCAAGGATGTGCACACACACAATAAGAATTCAAATATAATATACAAAATAGGGAAGATTACAATAAATGGCATTTGATAGCATAATTTTAACAGCCTACAAAGACCATCTGCCCAAAAAGAGGTGTCATGTTTCTGAGATTGTAGCCTTCCGAGAAAACAGGCTCAAAACTACAGCGGACATGGTCTTTGATTTATCCATTTAAAGATTAATTTAATACTACTAAAACATGGCAAAAACATATTCTTAGATCTCGTCTTCAATTAAGTAATAGTTCAGCCAAAAATGGAAATTCCAGCATTATTTTCAAAACCTGTATGATTTTCTTTCTTCCTTATGACTAGAATGCACTACCTGACTTTTAAAATCAGATTTCAAACCACCAGGGATCATACACTTGCGAACTCATAGACTTGACAACTGCAGATGACACACTACTAGACTTCACAGTCATTTCAAACACAACAAACACACTAAGAAATGTGCCTTGTTGCTAGGAGATATATGACAAATGAAAACAATGCGTGTTCTAAAATCAGCTCAAAATACCAAACATGTCTGATATCTTCTGACTGAATGGAATCAGTCTGAAGCTAGAAAATCTGAGCCCAGCATTCAACGTGATTGCCTGTGAATCTGTAAAAGCTGCATGCTGGCTCTGACTTTTGGCAACTAGCATCGACTCCTCCAGACTGTAATCAGGGCAAAAGTCTAGTAGTGTATTCTAGCCATAGGATCAAATGCAATATTGAAACTGAGAAAATTGCATAAATTAAATTGGAGATCCATGAAGAGATAATTTGGACTTGGAATATAGTGCACAGATCTTATGAATTACTTCTATGGTGCTTTTTATCGTCCTTATTGAAGCTTGAAAGCCCATGGTCACCATTAACTTTCATTACGTGGAAAAGAGCAGAGTGAACATGCTTCTAAACATCTCCATTTGTGTTCCATGAAAGAAAGTCATACAGGTTTGTAAAGACATGAGGGTGAGTAAACGATAAACATTTTGTCCATTTTAGGGTGCATTATACCTTTAAAAGTGGGTTACTATTAAGACTTCACGGCTGTTATTAAATATCTTCTTGAAGCAGGAAGAATGTGAAAAAACATCTCTGCTGTTATCTTACTGCATAAAAAGTTGAGTTTGAAGTTGAAACTTGAAACTTGAAGTTGAGTAGAGATTAGGTTATTCCCATAACTAAAATTATGGGATATAATTCCAAAATACAGAGTTTAAACAACAATCACCTTCTAAATGTTGATCACCTTGAGCATGTTATACCTCTTTGCACATAACTAAACAAGAAGAACTAATGAAAGAATGAAGCCCTGAAGTCGTCTTAAACACCACCTTCACACAAGTGTCTAAAAAGTGGTACTTTGCTGATCTGCTTAAGGATTTTGAGAAGGGGTTTCCATGAATTGCTCCCTGAGAGACCCTGCCCGGCCCATCTCCATCAGGACCATCTTTCAGAACAGCAGAATACAGATGTTCTTTATGCACCAAGAGCTTGTAACACTCCAAAGAGAAAGTAAAAATTTTAAATCGCATCATATGACCCCTTTAAAACAAATCATGCAAACTAAATTCAGCAGGCTCCAGCTAATGAGAAAAAAAAGAAGGAAAACAAAACAAAAACACCAAACCATATCAAACAAACAAGTAAAAAGATACATAATGTGCAATATTATAATTTTTTTTATTAACATTTTTTTTGTAGTTATATTCAATGGGTCACTCTCCAGGTACTCTCATGAGAACCAGACTTTATGAAAAAGTTGTGCGCACCCTTGTTTATTAATTTAGATTTGATACAGTTATTTTTATATAATTTATATAAATTATAAATAAACCATTTTAAGTTAATTACTCCCCAACAGACAGTTAATACTGACAAAGAGTTATCTATTATCTGAATAACAAATACCTAAAAGTTGTCTCCTCTTAACAAGTGGGAAAATAAGTCCAAGTTTTGAAAAGAAAACACATGCCGCCCTCTAGTGAGAATGAAGTCCCCATGTACAGTCAACTTACTACGGATACCAGGCAAGGGAAAGTTATGTAGGTAATTACATACTGTGGAGCTAGTTTGCACATATGACTATGATTATGCACACAAACAACTGCCAGCCACAAAAATTTACATTTATTTATTCCCAAAACAAGAGTCAAATTACCGTTGATCCACAAAGGTGAATTTGCCATCCATGGCGTAGCGGGTGACAAATTCAGTGGGCTTGACCTTTATCTCTCCGTTGGCCTGCGGGAGGGTGTGGGGGTGCACGCGGCCCACTGCTACCAGGCAGCTGAAGTGGGAGCTCTCTTTATCCGTCTCGGCCTCCCCCTCCGTGCCTAGCTGGTGCGTGGGCCAGGTGCGCATGTAGCCCGTGCAGTGCACAGTGCAGTACCGCTGTGACTCTGTTGGGGCAGTCAATCAAAACAGAGTCAATTTACAAGTGAGCTGTGAGCCAAATGTTCCACCATATGTTGTTAAAGAGGAACACAAAGGTGCACGTTTCATTCCCTTTTGGATTTGCTTGATTTAATCTAAAAACGTGCCATGACAAACATCTGACAAATGTTTTTTTTTTTTTACAGTGTTGTGACAAATGTGATATGTAGGAAAGCTTAAATATAAGCTTTTGCTCAACATGTTGAACATACTGTAATTTTGAAAAACTAGCTTATAATGCATGTTCAGCGCATGAAAATAGATAAATAAAAACCAATGCATGGCTTTACAGGGTTGCCTGAACAACTTAACTGCTCTGGGCAGCTTGGAAAAGGCCATGCTCACCAAGAAAAGAAACGTCAATGCTGTTCAAGTACAGACAGCACAGCAAAACACTTTCCAAAGTGAAGTCACTATCCAACAACTTTGTAGGAATATAGCTGTTGGAATGAAATCCCACAAGATGTGCTTACACCACTGCACGTGGCGAGAAAAAAAAAAAGGGGGTGTCGTGTAATGGGAGTAAATATGCAGACGTCGTCATCAACACGTCACAAATGACATCTTGGACAAGCAAGAAGAGAGACATTGCCAGGCTGAAGCCAAGAATATAGAACCTTTATTTAACTTTTTTTTTCTTTTTACAGAAAAATCATAACAGACAGTGGATTTCTGCTCTTCTGAGTCACTTGTCATGTCATCATTAAAATTGGAAAACCATCTTTAACAACTTGATTGTAAAAACAGGATGAGCTCCTGATGTATCCTGACTGAAATGCTACTGACCTTTCTTTTTTGAAGCCCCAGCCTGGAAGTCCTTCTCTTCTTTGACGGTAACTTTGTTGTACTTCATTCGGCAGAAGAATGAGCGCCGGGCTCCAGAGCAAAGCCGAGCCACTCCGACGGGGAGCTCAGCCTGCACCTGCAATCCCGCTGCACATAAACACCAGTCAGATTGGTTGAAATAATGATTTTCCCAAAAACGTATATTTTATTATTTACTCACCCTCATGTTGTACCAAATTTTTTTTTACCAAAAGCAATCCTACGGCTTCAGAACACTTCAAATACAGCACGAGTCATATGGACTACTTTTGCTGTGCTTTATGCCAGGAAACAGGTTTGAAACATGTGGGAGAGTAAATAATCAACTAAGAATGAATAATGAAAAAAAAAA